AGTCACATACAAGTCGCATTTAATTGGAAATGTGAACGACCTCGCAAAAACATCGGATTTCACAAAAAAAATCCAAATTGAGCGTTAAGCCCTGCAGTCTGAACGTAGCCTTAGATGTGTGAAGAATCCCTCAGTCGTCCAGGTAGAATCCATGGCGAGAACAAAACTCAGTTTGTTGACTGGACAAAAGTTAGTTTTAGTTTGTTTTAGCTTTGTCCAGTCGACAAACAGAATTTTCTCCTCGTCTTTAATTAATTAATTAAGTTTATTTCGCCAATGAAAATCACCAATTGGGTCCTTGTAAGCGCCCCACACTTTGAGAACCCCTTGCTTTGTTAGAACAGAGACTTTTAATAAGCACGTTTATTTCATGGTTGCCACGTTTACCTGAGAGCTTTAATTCTGAATAAAAATATATAATTCTGAAAAAAAAAAAAAAAAAAAAAAAAAAAAGAATTCCACTTTAAAAAGACCATGTAAAAATTTAATTCCTAATGAATTAAACTTAATTCCGAAGTAAGTGGGTGTTTTCTTCCATTTTAAAGCCGAATGAATTTCTTCCTTGATCATCTAAACGTTTATTCTTCTTAAAAATAATTCCGGTCGTTCAGTTCATGCTCGTTGGGTTCGATCCGGCTCCACCAGTCTTGGCTTCGGACTTTCCTCCACGTCTCTTTGGATTTGTGAGCGGGATGTGGGAGTGGGTTGAGGTAGAGCAGCCGTCGACTCAGTTCGTCTTCTTCCTCTCTTCTCCGACACTCTTCCCTTCTCCTCCTCGGCTGACAGACGTAAAGCGTGACGAGAGAATTCTCCAGCTGCTGCTTAAATATCATCGGAAAAAAGTTTGGATCATGTTTGTGTCCGTGGCGTAACGACAAACGGAGATGGCGAAAAAGCCGGTAGCAGCTGAAATGTGTCGACGTAAATACGTTCGTGTCCCTGTCCAATCAGAACCCAAGACGTTGAGCGGAATTAAATAAAGGTGATTTAAGGTGTTTTCCATGTAAAAGTCAATTCTGAATTATTATTTCCACGTAAACCCAAAGGAGAATATTTAAATTCCCAACTATTTCACTCAGAACAATTAATTCGGAATTAAAAAACATCATGAAAATGCAACCAGTGTCATGAATCGTCTGTAATGATCGTCTATTGCTTCATGGTGCACTTGGAGCTTCTTACACGGTTTTCTAATGTGTTTTTTTTTTTTTATTACAAACGGCAAATAAATAAACCTAACCTCTTTTTGTCAGTTGTTATTCCAAACCAGAAGATCTACATATTAGGAAAGTTTGTAAACAGTGTCTCTTCTCGACTAAACGCAGGATAATGAAGGTAACAGTTGTTTTCGTCCTCGTTTATTTGAGTTTATTTGAGTTGGGCCAAAAATATCCACAAACTTTATTACAGCATTTAACGGTGTGGGAACTCTGTGTCATCCTAATCATATAAAAGAGTTTAAAAGTATATTTAGGTCTTAAAATAAAGTGCAAAAGGTCTTTTAAATTGTATCACTGTGAACATGCTTTATATGAATCTTGCTATAGGTCCAAGCTTAACTCAATAATGCCCTCAGCTGGTGGGAATGTACCTTTGTCGGGTTTTAAAAATACAGAAAAGCAGGAGGAAAGAGGGATTAGAAACACAGAAGAAGAGAGAGAAAGAGAAGGAGAGAAGGAGAGATGAAAAACAAAGTCATATGACGAGATCTCCTGCAGCTTGTTAATACAGTCGGTAAACAAGTGCCAGCAGTGACAGAAGAGAGGAGGAGGAAGAAGAAGGAGAGGGCTAAAACAGAACTGAACCAGGTCTAAACCAGGACTAAACCAAGAACTAAGCCAGGACCAGACCATGACTAAACCAGGACAGGACCAAACAAAAGCTGCGTTCAGACTGCAGCCTGAAGTGACCCAAATCCGATTTTTTGGCCCCTATGTTCCTGTATCTGATCTTTTAATGACAGTCTGAACGACACAGATCAGATTTTTTCAAATGTGACCCAGGACACTTGGATATGTGCTCCTGAAACTGATACATATCTGATCTTTTGACATGCGACTTCAGTCTGAACGACCAAAGTGCATTCATCCACCTACACGTTATCAACAAGCCACAAACGTCACTATTCTGCGCTGAAGTAGGTGAAAATTGTTAATGAACTCCTTGTCACTGAAGCACATCTCTATCCCACCACTCTTGGCTACGTCTCCACATCCACACGTTCCTTTCAACGGACTGTCCCACAAAACACCACAGCCAAAAACCTCGTCCTTCTCCTTCTCAATCTCCTCCTTAAAACAAGTAAGTTGTTCATGTTCTGGCTCCGGTACGAGAGGAACTTTAAAATCTCCAGGTGCTCAATGCTCGCGTCCATGTTTGAACACGCTCGCTGCGGTTGACGTCGTCGTGTCTCCAGTGTCACATGTGGGACACTTTTGGGCCGTTTTATGTTCACACTGGAGTCACATACAAGTCACATTTAATTGGAAATGTGAACGATCTCGCAAAAACATCAGATTTCACGAAAAAATCTGAATTGAGCGTTAAGCCCTGCAGTCTGAACGTAGCCAAAGCTTACACTGGGATCAAACCAAGAGCAAGTGGTGGATATTCTCGCCTCACAGCTTGGAGGTTCCTGATGGGTTTCCTCAGGTTTCTCCCATCGACCCAAAACACGCACAAAAGATCAAATCCGCTAAATCAGCTAAGGGATCCTGACCAAGACTAGCTCAGGATCTGGAGATGTGTCCCACTGCTCCTGACAGGTTGACCCAGTGACCGAGCAGCTCGAGGTTGAACGACGGGTCAGATGGAGAAAATTAATTTCCTCCTCTCCGGGGACTAATATGAAAGTTTGACCTTATAAGAATGTACTCTAAAAAAAAAGCCTCTAAACTAAACCAGACTGACCTGGAACACAGAAAACAAAACTAAAACAACATTTAACACTTAATTACTTCAGACAAAACAGATTAGAAAAGCCGACTTCACACTTTACCTTAGATGAAAAATATATTTAAAAATGTATTGAAAGGGAAATTAGTTATAATTTAAGGGGAATTAATCTCTTTAAAATGGCCAGAGTCCGTACAACAAGGACAAGTTTTGTATTTCAATTTGTGGGGTCAAAATCTGGAACTCAAAAAATGTCCAGATATGAAAATGTTTAAATATAGATATAAAGAAATGATTATAACTGTATGCAGAAGAAGGAATTTATTTTAAAGTTTATTTGTCATCTGAATGTCAACTACACTTTATTTTCTTTTGTATCTGGAGTAATGTGACGTACTGTAAGAGTCTGGCAGAAGCACATTATTGCTTTAATGGGATTGTAAAAGGGGGTGGGGGTAGATAAGTGTTGCTTCTCCCCACTCTTTTTCCTTTAGATTTTTTTATTTTTATTTTTATTTTGGAGATTACAGTTGTGATGAGCAATGTAAAACAATTGCCTTTATGTATCTGTTGATTTCTGCATAATAATTCAATTTATCATTTGTGGAATCATCCAAAAAACTTATTATTATTATAAAAAAAAAAATAGCACATGGCACTCTACATTTCAACTGCAAAACCAGAAATGTGTAGGAAAAAACAAGTTTCACAATGTTAGAACTGCAAATAAGGACGATGTTTTGACAGACGACATACCGGCTTGTCTTTGCCGTCTGTTTGTTTAAGGGGGTATCCCGTAATGCTTTCCGATGTGATGTCACAATCTATTTATGGTCATACCAGCCTGTCGAAGCCTAGTCTCGTCAGAACTCAGAAGCTGAGCAGGGCCGGGCCTGGTTAGTACCGTATTTTTCGGACTATAAGGCGCACTTAAAATCCCTTAATTTTCTCAAAAAACAACAGTGCGCCTCATGTATTAATTCTGCTTGTGTTTACTAACCTCAAACCTATTTTCACATACATTCCTCCTTTAGTCTGACAGAAACTGAACGCATCAGCACACAAGGAGCTATATATACTTTATGCAAATGAGTCATGTGGTTTAAAGTTTAGTTTCTGTAAAACGTAAACAAATGTGCGCAAAGCTGCATTCAACACATTATTACTCTGTGTATATTTGAGTCCTTCTCGAAGGAAACAAATTTAAATTATCCACCCACATATTCACCAAGACAGGGAGGCAACGCTGGGTGATTTACGCCACGATCTGCCAATGGATCATGAACGCCTGGGCTAAGGATCCGTCTCAAGTGTTGTCTGTTTGTTTCACTTTATGCTCCTTATAATCCAGTGCACCTTATGTATGAAAATAGACAACAAAATTCAACATTATTGATATTGCGCTTTATAATCCGGTGCGCCTTATAGTCCGAAAAGTACGGTACTTGGATGGGTGACCATTGGGAAATTCAGGTGCCACAGTCATTGTTTCCCTAGACAAGGCACTTCACCCACATTGCCTAGTATGAAAGTGGTGTGTGTGTGAGTGTTGGTGATGGTTGGAGGGATTGATGACGCAGATTGGCAGCCTGGCATTCGTCAGTGTGTCCCAGGGCAGCCGAAGAGGTTTACAGTGCAGCCAACAGCAGCTTATCACCACTGGGCATGGAGTGACTGAATAATGTTCTGTAAAGTGTCTCTGAGTGTCTAAAAAAGCACTATATAAAGCTGATCCATGATTATTATTATTATTTTTAACAACGGTGAAAAGCGTTATTGCTCCTTTTCAGATGACACCAAAACAGGCCCATAATATTTAACACAGATAGAGTCAGCTCAATTTAATAATCTTCTAATGCAGATTTATGCTTTAATACATTGAGGTCTTGGGTCTAGACACGAACAGAAATGACCAAGTTTCACATTTGGTCTTTTACCTTTTGGATATTTTATGGTAACGTACAATGTAAACAATAGGGATTCCGATTTGAGAGCATGAGAGTATGAAACCATGACGATATTTAAGAATCTGAAAATCACCAGTCAGGTCTTTGTACACGTCCTACACTTTGATAACCCCTTGCTTGGTTAGAACGGAGACTTACACTGGTGACACGTTTGTAGATCTGAGCTGCGTTCTGACATTCGGAGTAGGGGTATTCCGAGGTGGCCATCTCCAACATGCACATCCCAAACGCGTACACGTCCACGGACTCGTCGTACTTCTCCTCGTACATCTCTGGAGCCATGAACTCCGGAGTCCCTGGGAAAAAGGAAAATATAAATTAGAATTTCATATTAAAGGTCCTACATTACAATAAAAATCTATTCTTGTGAGCTTTGTGTTTTGTTTCATTCACACGTTTGAGTGAGCCTGCATTATTACCGTAGTTTTCAGACTATAAATCGCACTTTTTTTCATGGTTTGGGTGTTTCCTGTGACTTATACTCCGGTGCGACTTATATATTAAAATTTTCACACTGACAGACACTGAGAGGCTCTAGTCTTGTGTGTCAGTATCTGCTGCTCCTGTTCCTCCTGTACCACTGTCACTTCACTCTACTGCACATGTCTCCTGCAGAAAGAGCCTCTGTCCTGTCTGTATCATGTCAGTCGATTGCAACATTACTTCTGCACCATTGACAATTTTAGATTTAAACAAACTTATAAAAACAACTGAGAAGACTGAGCACAAATGGCCCCAAAAGGAAAATCATATTTGGCAGATTACAAGCTGCACGTTGCGAAATATTCATCTGTAAACGATAATCGAGCAGCAGAAAGAAAGTTTGGAGTGAGCGAGAAACTTGTGACACCGGGAGAGTGCACCCTGCAACTTTCCTGGAAATCACTGGATGGATCGACAAAGCATAAACATGGATAACTTGCCTTTCAAGATAAACGTCGGTTCCTGGTCTCTGATTTTATAAAATAAATTTCCCCCAAAATGTGCAACTTATAGTCCAGTGTGATTTATGTTTGTGGTTTTTTTCTCTTTCATTACGCTTTTTTCCAATCCAATCCAATCCAAATTTATTTGTATAGCACATTTTACAAACAAAACAGTTTCCAAAGTGCTTCACATAGCAATGCAACATTACTTTAAAAAGAAAAAAAAAAAAAAAAAACTCCAGAATTATGTTTAATAAAGACACTAATAGAAAAATAAATAAAATAACAATAATAAAATCAATACATAAAAGCAGTACTAAAAAATAAAATAAATAAAAAACAATAAATAAATAAATACTTTTTTTTTTTTTTTTTTTTGGCTGGTGCAACTTATAGTCTGAAAAATAGGGTAGTCTGTCTACATCTCCAAAGCTCAAAATGCTCTGTTCCACCTTGTGATGTCACGAAATGGTAGTTTTCAAGTTAACAGTTATACCTTTTATCTTTAGTTCAGTAGAGATCGGCAATTCCAGGGCTGAAATCACCCAAATGATTCCAGTGAAGGTGTATGGAGTTTAAAAACACTGTGGAACACTTCTTGTATCACCACATGACATCACAAGGTGGAAGCGTTTTCTGTTTGAGAGAAGAACTCAGCCTAAATATGCAGGGTTTGTGCGTTAAACGTGTGAATGAAACAAAACACAACTCCGGGTCTGTTCTTGATGAGGAAACAACATTATAACATAGATCAGAAAATAGCCGTTGTTATATAAATCGAAATAAAACGTTAATTTGACTCGTACAAATTTTGGTTGGCTCAGACTCCAAGGTCGACAGCTCTAGTGGCTACTGTCCCGCACCAAGAGCCTCCCTGACCTCTCGTCTCTGTCCACACTCACTCGCTCAGAGCCGCTGTTAAATCCACACGCTCCTGTAGGCTCCATTTACAGTGTATGTTTGTGTTTCTGTGAGAGTGGAAAATACTTGAGGTTTGTCTAATTACAACAAAGCAGCCCAAACATTTCTTTTAAGAGTTTCAGTCTCGCTCCAAGTTTCTGAAACTATGTGCATAACTCTATTATACGTAATTGCAAAAACATATACAGCTGTTCTGCACTGTAAAAAAGACCTGCTGAAAGTGCTAAAATCTGAACTCGGAATAAGTAGTTTCAACTGTTTTTCGTGGATAAGATTATTGGGCTGGTTTATAAAATGTTCGTGGCAAATTTTAATTTAGTGCTGGGGTGTGAGAATTGTGTTTACCCAGTTGACAGTTGTATTTTAGTCTTATTTATTTTGTTTTATTTTATTTTTGTAACAAGTCTGAAATGCTGTGATCTCCAGTAAGCAAAAACATAACAACAAATATTTTAAAGATGTACTATGTAACTTTTCTAGAGGAGGGTAGGCCATCTGCTTGTTTCCATGGAGATTGCTCAGAGTCACTGCTTTATTTACAGTGGTGATAAGCAGGTGACTCCATAAGGCCATCGTGTAGGTCAGATCTGTGAAGAGGCGAGCTCACTCACATTTAGACTACATAAACACATGTCAGTGAGTAAGAGCAAGATATAAAAGTTAAATGTCATACTGTGGAACGTTCCGGCAAAGCAAAACCATACTCCATGGAGAAAAGCAAATGACCGACCCACACCGCCACAAGAAAAGTTACAAACAACCGTGAACCCGCTGCACTGTACGTAAACATTTACAGCCGTTTATTGTACTTTAGAAGTGTAAGAAAAAATCGATTCAGTGATATATCGTGATACTACATTCGCACAATTCTTCAGTCAATTCAAAATGTGTCCAAATCGACTTTTTTTTTTAAATCGATTTTTACCGTATTTTCCGGGCTATTAGGCGCTCTGGATTATAAGTCGCACTGTCATTAAATGGTCTATTTTCGAACTTTTTTCACAAATAAACCGCACCGGACTTTAAACGAAACACAACAGTGTGATGGGTGAGTGGTTTTGTTTGTTTGTTCGTTCACGGTGACTCTGGGCTTTGTTCAGTTGTGGCGTGTAGGGAGGTGCTGTCTGGGATCAACTGGATTGTCGGCGTGTTCGCAGTGACTCAGTTGTTCAGTCGTGTCTAGAAGTGGCACATTGCGCTCGCTTTTTCGGTTCGTTCCTCCGTTCCGTTCCTCGTCGGCGTGGAGCGATGAGTGTGTCTGTGGGTGTTTTTCGCCGCGCGGTCGCTGTCTGCTCCGTGTGTGTTTGCGTGCGCTGCAGGTGGTGTGGCTTTGTAGTTTACTGAAGTCGTGCTGGGACACCCGAGTGGATTCGTGTATGAGGCGCTCTGGCTTGTGGGGCGCGGTCATTTTTTGATGCGGTTAGAGGCTCAAGAGCGTGTCTAATAGCCCGGAAAATACAGTACTGTTTTCTCTGATTTTAAAATAAATAAATTCATGTAATACAATATCGTGCTTGTGAAGGTGTACATGATAGAGGTCTGTGTGGAACAGAATTTTCAGTCCCGCTCCTGCCCACTCCTTCAAAGAATTGTAATTTTCATTCCCGCTCCCGCCCGTATCTGCGATGTTTTGTCCCACTCCAGCCCGCAAATCCATTCGCTTTCTTAATCTCTATCAAACACGGAGAAGAGGAAAAGAATTGTCTAAAATGTGCGTGAGATTAGACCACATCTGCAAGTTTAGGCTGCTTAAAATGTTTTTATTAATGCCAAATAAAATATCCAGCACAAATTATGTGTGATAGACAAACATGAATCATTTGTATATTTTACTTTACACTCATATTTAGTTTGTGGGACTGCAGTTTATCATCCCACCTACTTACGCATTGTTTTGTGTCGGGTCCCAGGCTCGCGGAAGTGCAGGGCTCTAGTACAACACTATATTATTAGAAGCAATTATTGAGAAATTGCAGTGTATTATATATTTAGTATTGGGATATATCGGGATATATTGTATCGTGACATAGCGTGATATGTATCGTATCGTCAGACTCATGTCAAAACCCCACCCCCCCGATTGTACAGGCTGTGGAATGGTTATTTATATTGATTTTTTAATGCATATTTCTATTTGCTTGTTGTCCTTGAACTGAGCATTGCAACACTGGAATTTCCCCACAGTGGGACACATAATTGTTCTCTTATCTTATATCTTTAAAGCTCCCATCTGCTCGTTTAGAGATTAGATCACAGATGCAAAACCTGTGCCCCCCTTTCCCCCTCCTCTCCCCACAACTGTCTCCTCCCCCCTTCACCTAGCCCCTCCCTCTCACCTCACCTAGCCCCTCCCCTCACCTGGCCTTTGTTCAGTCTCACCTGCGCTCGCTGTTTTGTTTATTTGTTTTGTTTAGTTTTTTCTGTCAGGTCAAAACTAGCACACTATGAAAGAACAGTAACATAGACAGCCTCTAGTGGTGAAGTGTGAGAATACAACAGGCCAGAGTAATTACAAATTGCAGCTAATATACCGTATCTATGTTTAATACTCAAAAGATGCATATTGTCCATGTTATTTAGTCCGTTTTTTGCAGTGCTCTGAGTGTGCACTTCTGGCTTCTCTAAATGACCAGAGACACATTTCGGTTTGACCCACATTCTGCGTAGTAAAAATCCATATAATGTGTTTTTGTTTTGAGCAGATCCGCAGACAGCTTAATCCCTTTTTACGAGCACGGTCCTGGCTTGTGTCTCTTCAGATGCCTGTGGTTTTGCGATTACAACCAAACATTTTGAAGTAGTAAATTTTGAGTGCAGTAGGCGTGTAGAGACTCAAGTATGTAACCCACACTACAATATACTGACGGTTTCACTTTATAAACAAGATGTTGGCTTACGAGACAGCTGAATAAGGCTTTGGTAATTCTATTGTGTTATATTGTGTTATAATGTTGTTAAATTTAACCAGTGCGTTGTGTTTTGTTACATTAAAACTGAAAAAGTAAATACTGTTTTTCCCCCATAAATTATATTACAAATCAATCTGAATCACTTAAAATTTTGTTTGAATTGTGCTCTATAAATAAAAGTTATTAAATAATACAATAAAATAATAATAATAATAATAAAATAATAATAATAATAATAAATAAAAATATATAAAATAAAAAAATATAAATAATATAAATATAAAATAAAAAATACAAATAATAATATAAATATAAAATAATATAAAAAATTATAATTTAATAAGCAGATCTTAATAGGGAAAGTTCTAGTGATATATTTACGAGAACATTTCCCATGTCCATTGAAAAGAACCAGCTTTTCATAAATAGTAAATAACACACAACCTCACCTCACTCTCAAACCCTTAAAGGTTGTATAGAGGATTTTCCAAGGAACGAGAAATCCAGCGACTGTTTGTCCTTTTTCAAATGTTGCGCATGCGTGAAACCACCCCCCCTCCCCTACAGCTCCTACGTAGAAACGCCTCCTCCCTCCTCCTCCTTACGCCAGAAACAGGTTTGTTTACAGCCGGTGCGCTGCACATGACTTGTAAACAACTAACTACAGTGTTGGTTAGGCAAGACGGAGAAGTGAGGAGCGGGGGAAGAGCGGGTGCGCGGACATTTCGTCGCGGACGAAGTGAAGCGGAGCAGGGCGAGAGGAGAGAGGAGAGAGAGGAGGAGAGGAGAGAGGAGAGAGGAGAGGGGAGCAGTGCGGAGATTCCGTGCGCGGAGAAGTGAGGAGCAGGGGAAGAGCGGAATCGGGCAGCGGGGAGAGGAGCAGGAAAGGGGTGCAGAGAAGAGTGCGCGGAGATTCCGTGCGAATGAACTAGCTACAACACGCAGCAGCAAGCGGACTCTTTCTTTGCCTTGAAAATTATGTTTTCAGACATAGGATATCGCTTTCATGTCCTGAAAAACATTTGTCTAGCTCTTGGAAATAAAGTACGTTTTCATAATAAGCAGAAGTTTCCTGTCCAGGAGTAATTTGTGCGACCAGTGCGTCAGTCTTTAGACCCTGCGTCTGCTTCAGTCGCGCCATCGCTGGAATGAATCTACAAGAATCACCTTAGTTTGGCTTCGCTGCTTTTCCCCTTGTCTTCTTCTTTCAGCGACCTCAAAAACGGACTTTCTTTTGCGGCGAACTGCTCCTGGATTCTTGTCGCCATTGCAACAAACTTTGTGCGAACTGCGAGGAAGATATAGGTCAAAAAAAAGCCGCTAAGAACTGTTGCGTTGGTGGAGTAAAACAGCGTCTTGCGTCTGTGGACTGCGTGACAGGTCGTACGTAAACCACGTACCGGCGGCGCAGGCAAGTCAGTTACACTAGAAACATAGGGAGTTTGATTGACAGCCTGTCAGCTCACAGATAACGAGGCAGTGTCGTTATCTATTGGCAAATGTTTAGCCCCACCACGTCCAGAGTTGATGAATTTTTATCCTCTTTTTTTTGGTCATCATAATTACAAGGCTACTGCACCTCTATAATGCTATCATTGACAATTTGAAACAAAATAAAATCCTCCATACAACCTTTAAAGCTGTGGTACCAGGCTGTTTTTGTAAATATAAATACATCTTGTGTTTTCCCCCCAAAGACGACGTAGTACAAGCTGCACTTTGTGACAAAATGAGACGGCTGTGGTCTGTCTGCAGCTAATAATAACAGATTTTTATTTCTAAAACCCAGAAGGAAGGGCCAAAAGCGGCGCTCTGACCAACTGCTCCTGGTTGGTTCAAACCAGTTTCACTTCGCTGCCTGAAAAAGCTGCTCTAAAGTCGTGTGTGTGGATGTTAAAGGTCCTATATTACACAAAATCGATAAAATTTAGGAGGTTTAAGCCATGTTATAATGCTGTTACCTCCTCAAAAACAGACCTGGAGTTGTGTTTGTTTAATTCACACATGTTTGGAGCAACCCTTTATTATTACACAACTCCAGGTCTGTTTTTGATGAGGAAACATTATAACATAGATCAGAAAATAGCGTGATATATGGTCTCTTTAATGATGTACATCCTGATTGCTAAAACCGTGTCCAGATGACGACAGTTGAAACCTTCTCTACTGAACAAAACCTGGACGAATGATGAATTACTCTGTCTCTTTTAAAACACTGCAAACAACTCACACAATTTTACTCTTCGGGATCTTTTATACTCTATGTTCTAGACCAGAGGTTTTCAATAGGTGAGGCCCGCCTCTCCTGGGGGGCACCAAAAAGCCACTGAGGAGGCATGACACACGCAAAGAAAAAATAACGGTCCACATCTGTAAACATCTGCAGCAGGATTGATATCTGTAATCGTGCGTGTGTATTAACTGTAAAATTATGTCATCATTCTGACAAATTACTAATAGTTTGGAGCGTCACCTTTTTGGCCTCGTGGGAAACGCCTCTAAACCAAAACTAAAACCAGGACTAAACTAGGACTAAAATCAGGACTAAAATCACAGCTAAAACCAGGTCTAAACCAGGTCTAAACCAGAACTAAACCAGGACAAAAATCAGGACTAATAAAACCAGGACTAAACCAGGAATAAACAGGACTAAACCACCAGAACTAAAAACTAGGACTAAACCGGGACTAACCAGGACTAAAGAGGACTAAAAGCAAGTCTAAACCAGGTCTAACCCAGGACTAAAATCAGGACTAAAACCAGGACTAAATCAGAACTATAACAGGCATAAACCAGGAGTAAATCTGGACTAAAATCAGGCCTAAAACTAGGTCTAAACCAGGACTAAACAAGGTCTAAACCAGGAGTAAATCAGGACTAAAATCAGGACTAAAACCAGGTCTAAACCAGGTGTAAACCAGAACTAAACCAGGACTAAACCAGAACTAAAACCAAGAGTAAACCGGGACTAAAATCAGGACTAAAATCAGGACTGAAATCAGGACTAATAAAACCAGGACTAAAGGGGTACTAAAACCGGGAGTAAACCAGGGGTAAATCAGGACTAAAACCAGGACTAAACCAGAACTAAAACTGGGCATAAACCAGGAGTAAACCAGGACTGAAACCAGGCCTAAAACCAGGTCTAAACCAGGTCTAAACCAAGTCTAAACTAGGACTAAACCAGAACTAAAACCAACAGTAAACCAGGACTAAAATCAGGACAGAAATCAGGACTAAAATCAGGACTAATAAAACCAGGACTAAAGGGGTACTAAAACCAGGTCTAAACCAGGAATAAACAGGACTAAACCACCAGAACTAAAACTAGGACTAAACCAGGACTAACCAGGACTAAAGAGGACTAAAAGCAGGTCTAAACCAGGTCTAACCCAGGACTAAAATCAGGACTAAAACCAGGAATAAATCAGAACTATAACAGGCATAAACCAGGAGTAAATCTGGACTAAAATCAGGCCTAAAACTAGGTCTAAACCAGGACTAAAATCAGGACTAAAACCAGGTCTAAACCAGGAATAAACAGGACTAAACCACCAGAACTAAAACTAGGACTAAACCTGGACTAACCAGGACTAAAGAGGACTAAAAGCAGGTCTAAACCAGGTCTAACCCAGGACTAAAATCAGGACTAAAACCAGGTCTAAACCAGGTCTAACCCAGGACTAAAATCAGGACTAAAACCAGGTCTAAACCAGGTGTAAACCAGGATTAAACCAGAACTAAACCAGAACTAAAACCAAGAGTAAACCGGGACTAAAATCAGGACTAAACCAGGACTAAAATCAGGACTGAAATCAGGACTAATAAAACCAGGACTAAAGGGGTACTAAAACCGGGAGTAAACCAGGGGTAAATCAGGACTAAAATCAGGACTAAAACCAGGACTAAACCAGAACTAAAACTGGGCATAAACCAGGAGTAAACCAGGACTGAAACCAGGCCTAAAACCAGGTCTAAACCAGGTCTAAACCAAGTCTAAACTAGGACTAAACCAGAACTAAAACCAACAGTAAACCAGGACTAAAATCAGGACTAAACCAGGACTAAAATCAGGACTGAAATCAGGACTAAAATCAGGACTAATAAAAAGAGGACTAAAGGGGTACTAAAACCGGGAGTAAACCAGGATTAAATTGGGACTAAAATCAGGACTAAAACCAGGTCTAAACCAGGTCTAAACCAGGACTAAAATCAGGACTATAAGGGGGATGCATATGGTTAATTAAAAGAACACAACTTTGACATTAGAAAGGTTTGGGTGTATAAATGTAGTGAGGTGATAAATGAACAAACTAAACAAATAAAACCACCACATATCGTGATACCTATGACACTCTTGGCGAAGGAAGCCCTCTTGAGCGTGGCCAGACCCAGGTCCCCGATCTTGACGGAGCCGGTGGGGCCCGTGATGAAGATGTTGTCGCACTTGAGGTCTCGGTGGATGATGGGCGGCGCTCTGGTGTGGAGGAAGTGCAGCCCTTTGAGGATCTGTCTGCACCACGAGCGAAGCACTTTGATTTTCATCACTTTGAAACGCTTCAGGTACCTGCCGCGCAAACAAAACAAGACAAGACAGTCAGCGAAGAACGTTGAGCACACGCTTCAGGTACCAACGAAAGCTTAAGAATCACTTCAGGTACCGACAACAAAGACAACAAACACAAAAGAGAGAGTTAGTGAACAAAACAGAGGTTAAAGGTGCAACGAAAGATGGAAAGGAAAACAAAGACTGTATATATCGGTGTTTCCCAGACTTTTTTTCTGGGGACCCATATTTTAAAAGTCACAAATCTTCACAACCCAAGTCAATAGACATTATTCGTAAATCACAAAATAAATTTGTGCCCATTATTGAACTTTAATTAGTTTATGTTATTGTTGACTGACTGATCTGTCTCTCTGAACAATTAGTATTACCGTATTTTTTGGACTATAAAGCACACCGGATTATAAGGCGCAATATCAATAATGTTGAATTCTCTCGCCTATTTTCATACATAAGGCGCACTGGATTATAAGGTGTAATAAGCGAAACAAATGGATGACACTTAAGACTTGAGACTTTTTTATTTCCTACAAGGACGACTCAAATATAGATTGATTAATAATGTGTTTAATGCAGCTTTGCGCACATTTGTTTACGTTTTACAGACACAAAACTTAAAACCACATGGCTCATTTGCATAAACTACAAGCGATTAAAAAAAACAAAAAAAAAAAACAGTTGCTCCTTGTTCAGCTTCTGTCAGACAAAGAATTGAAGAAGCGATCGAAAATCGGTTCGAGGTCAGTAAGCACAACCAGAATTAATACATAAGGCACACTGTCGATTTTTCAGAAAATTAAGGGATTTTAAGTGCGCCTTATAGTCCGAAAAATACGGTACTCAAATTTTAAACAAAGAAAAACAGTAATCAGTATTTCCCACAGAAAATTGGTTAGACAAGGCGGTGCTGCTGAAAAAGTGAGGAGCAGAGGGTGCGCGAAGATGTATGTATATGTATATTGCAAACCTATATGCAGATCGTGACAAGGTGACCCAAAAAAATCTCTTGCAACCCAGTCTTTGCGAAACAATGGTCTATATAAATGGACAAAACTACCACGCTTGCCACTGGACTCCAAATGGGAATTGTGCAAGAGCATTTCAGCTCCACTGGCTCCAATTCACCTAATACGGAAAAATTGTTGCCCTCCTCTCCAAGTGCTGCTTTCAGGCTCCTCATTTTGGTCTTAAAATGTTTGTATTAACCCATTCTACGTGATCCTGGTGTTTAATTTCACTATTTTGTCCATTTTGAAGCTTCGATGAGCTTAATTTGACTAAAACTGAACACTATGGCTGACATCACACTCCCTCAGTCCACTTCTTTATACGACTGACGCTATAGATGGACAGTAAATCAGTGGAAATATCTTTACTAAGCAGTTTTTTTAAAGAATCAGGCTCTGGAACCACTTCATTAACACTTTTCCCCCCTAAACCAACGCTGCAGCAATAATCTGGATCAAATCAACACAATTTGAACTGACACTAATACGGGGAGGATGCATTTTTTTAAAGTCCCATCATTTCCTTCACAAACAACAAAATATCCTGTATTTTTCTGTACAAACACGTCCTGAAGTGTGATTAGATTGTCAGTTCATATTTCAGCCTTTTTGTCAATGCTCAAATGTGAAGTCAAATGTGAATACAAGCTCATTATTAGTCAGAAAAAACTTAATTACATGTTCCCAAAATCAGGCATCTTTTTTTTTTTTACAGCAAGATGCACCGTTTTATAGTTTAGTTTCTGTTTGTCTCTATGGAGATGATTTGCTTTGCCGACAATGTTCTGACAAGAGTATAGTTTTAAAGGTGCACTTTGTAACTTTTCTGGTTTGCTTATTTATCCATGGTGATGTTATAGCTTTATAATGTTCCACACAGTATGGCGTAGGGCTGGGCGATATGGATCAAAAATATATATCTCGATATATGTTCAAGAAAAAATAATCCCCTAAAACTGAAAACTGCAAAAACAAATCTGCCAAATTCCACAAGGTCCTTTTTTTTTATTGAAGTGTAAGAGGTCGACAGTTCATATAGGAACATTTAAGATTACAAAAAACCCTAATTACATAAATAATAATTTAACTGTAAAATAAAATAAATAATACATATTTCCTTCTTTTCATTCATAGATAAAACAACTCAACACAAGCTCATCTTTGCATTAACTCTGTTATCCAGACCAGAACCAGAACCATGAGCTCGTTTAGCAGAAGAAACTCAGGATGTTCCTTATTTCAACAGATCCATGTTCATATCCAGCAGTGAGGAGCTCTGAGGTTTAATCCCACAATCCACTGCAGATCAAACCCAACGTTTCCAAACACTATTGTACAAGTGACACTGCAGCAGATTATTCATTAAAATCTTCTCCATAAATAAACTTTACATTACTAAACTTTACAATATATAAAGCATAACGACTCTAGAGCCACATCAGCCTGTTTGACATTATAATGTGTTTAATGCAGTTTTGCGCACGTGTGTTTACGTTTTACAGAAACGAAACTTAAGTGCATGGCTCATTTGCATAAACAGCACTTCTCATGCAGCTCAGCTCGTTTAGCTTCTTTCGGGCTAAAGGACGCGACTCGGTGGAATATGAGGATGTGCTGCTGATGGTTTTGTCTGTAAATGGTGGAAAAGGTTCGTGGTGCTTGAAGCTTTTCACTGGCACCAACTTTTCGGCGTTCAGTGAGGAGTGAAGGAGACACGAGCGAACAAAATCAGGGAGGCGGGGCGCGAGGAAGGCGACGAGAGAGAAGGTAAACAAGCGAAGCGGCGAATTCTAAATTTAATATAAGCATTATATCGATATATACGATATGTCAGAATTCATATCGAGTTTAAAAACTATCTCGATATATTTAAAATATCGATATATCGCCCACCCCTAGTATGGCGTTACACTTTTATATCTCCATGGAGACCAGCAGGTGATGCATAGGTCAAGTTACAAGTCATATCTGTACAGAGGTGACCAAACTGACAGTAAAAAGGTAGAATATTTTTTTTTTTTGCAATAAAAACATTTCTAATTGAGTAAATGCAAAACTTGAGTATAGTATAATGCCATGCTGAGTAGGGCTAGCCAGGCAGGCACCACCTCCTAGTGCCTTCACTCAATTTCATTTCTCTCCAGCAACTAGGTCAGGAATCAAAATACAATAGATGGTTCGCAAAAACCCCGGAAGTGCAAGTTCGGGCACCAGCCAATCAGCGAAGAGCCATACATTCTGTGTTGGCAACAATTCCCGAGAACGGTTTAAAGTGGAAATAAAGAGAATGTTTGGTGAATTTTATCAAGGGGAAAGACGTTATTGTCCTTCTTCCTTCAGGATCTGGGAAAAGCTTAATATACCAGTTAGTCCAGTTAGAGGCGCTGTTTTGCCCCAAATAAGTTAAAAATGTGTTCTATACAGTTGTTTTTACAGTAGATTGCATTTACAGCTGCCTGTCTTTCATTTTGAAGGCCTCTTTAGAGACAGACAGTCATGACAGGAAGTCAGCTATATGTTGTTTTTGTTTGCTCCCAGTAGCACATGTGTTCATCCTCTGACATCTGCCTTTTTGATCTGTAAGTTGTCCTTTATTCTGTCAGACAAAGAATTGAAGAAGTGATCGAAAATTGGTTCGAGGTCAGTAAGCACAACCAGAATTAATACATAAGCACACTGTCGATTTTTCAGAAAATTAAGGATTTTAAGTGCGCCTTATAGTCCAAAAATACGGTACTCAAATTTTAAAATAAGAAAAACAGTAATCAGTATTTTCCCACAGAAAAATTGGTTAGACAAGGCGGTGCTGCTGAAAAAGTGAGGAGCGGTGGTGTGTGAAGATTCAAGATTCCATGCAAGAAGAAAAAGTGAGGAGCAGAGGGGGCGCGAAGATGTATGTAATATGTATATTGCAAACCTACATGCAGATCGTGACAAGGTGACCCAAAAAAATCTCTTGCAACCCAGTCTTTGCGAAAACAATGGTCTATCTGCCTTTTTTGATCTGTAAGTTGTCCTTTATACAGATAAGAATTATACTATTTTTGCTCGATTTGTAAAGGATGGATATTAGAAATGTGTTTTTATTGAAGATTATGTATTCCTATGGTGGATTGTAGTTAAACTAACCTCAGTTATATTTTGCACTGTGCTAAATGCAGTTTTTTCTGTTTTTCAGTTTTACTCTGTTTTTGGAACCATCTTTATGGAGAAATAAATTGGAGCTATGGACGCTATATTGTGACTCTGCGCATGTTTCCAAAAGGAGTTATGCTTACTCCTAAATTGTGTTAGAAACACACAAGGAGAGCGGAATAAGCGCATTAAATACGTCATGACCAACATGACCCGCCTGCTGTCGAGCGAACAAAATCTAAGGCTATGAGGTCAGACGGTTTGTACGAAGCAAAACAAATTCAAACTGATGAATCAGGCTAGAGTAGGGATGGGTATCATTAAGAAGTTGCCGATACGATACGATACATATCTCGATACAGTGCATTTTCAATTCAATATATTTCAAATCAATTCAATACGGTTCAATAAAAAAATAAATAATGAAAAAAAAAAGGCTAAATCATGGCTGTGATACTACAAGTCTTTGTTAAACCACTTCTTGTGCAAAAGTTCATATGAAACACTAAGGATGTAACAATAACCGAAATATCGTGATATCGTATTATCAAAAGTCTCACAATAATACCACGGGCTGTCGGAGGTTGTGTGGAGAAATGGACGCTGATCGTACACGTGTGTTTTGGAGTTGGCTGAAAATTAGGGTATATTGGGAACAATTAAACGCAACCTTAACGAGTATTCTGGGATATGGAATTCCAAACACTTGTCTTGTGATATATCTGGAAAATATATCTGATGAAGTAAGGAAGGATGACATGTATTTGACAAAAATTGTTTTAGCTGCATCTAAAAAGGGAATTACAAAGAGTTGGTTACAACCAGATCCAGCCGCACAACAAGACTGGATCAGGATTG